TTTTAGTAGCTTCCATGTTTTCTGATGTCGGTAATATATGACTTTTCTCACTGATCAATCTTCTAAATTTTTTATCAATTTAATTGACTTTCTGAAAGAACCGTCATCTAGTGTCATGGGCTTTCCTTTTAACATTTCATTGATTTCTATCTGATCTTTTATTTTCTTTCTTTTGCTTATTTTGGGTTTATTTTGCTTCTACCGATTTCTTAAAATATAAGTTATGGTCAATGATTAGAGACTTCTTTTTTTCTAATCTGAAGAGTATTAGCTACTTACATAATGCTTTTCAATTTGTGCTTGTTTTCTATTTACTATTTAAGCGAATGCATTTGAAGAAGCATGACAGAAATGTTGTACCTTTCAAAGTGCGTTTTATGAGGTGACACATGCTGCTGTTTTTTATCAACACCAATGATCATTTTAACTGCTTGCTCAAGTAGCGGGAAATTGTCAGATTTTTCCACTGAAAATCTTTCTTCCTCATTGAATTAATGCACATCATTTGAAGAGATAACTGTGAAATTTTACCCTGACATGGATCCCCTCCGGTCATAGGTGAGGGGTATGAATATCCCTATTATCAGACAGAGAACAGTGCAAAGTTGATTACGGCAGGTGTAGTTGGGCCAGAATGTAATACCTTATAATTTGATCTCCCTTCTGACCCATTTTAAAGCTGTTTCATTAAAAAAAAAAAAAAAGTGAAGGTGACCTTGGACCAGGGATTTGAATAACTTTGCTAACAAGCACTGTAAAGTGGATTGTTGCATATGCAGTTAGTAAAATTAGCATCCTATCATTTGATTTCCCCATGATCCATTTACATTTGTTCTAGTTTTTAATTTTCTTTTTGATTGAGGTTTTTAATCTGTTTTACTGTTATTCTCAGTTTTTTGTTTGCTTGTTTTTTTAAAAATGTTTTTCTGTATGTGAACTCCAGAACAGACAAATCTATAGAGAAAGTAACTGGATTAATGGTTCCTTGCGGGTATGGCAGGGGAGGTTGTGGTGGGGACTGAGAGTATACAAGAGTAAATGCCAGTTAATACAAGAGTGAAGAAAATGTTCTAAAACTGATTGTAATGTTAACTGTACAACTCTTGTTGATGTGATTGGACTATTGAATTGTATAATTTATATGCCATAAAAACTGTTGGGGGAAAAAAAGAGAAGTGCTTTAATATGAGGGGTTACCACCCCCCACCCCCCAAAAATACCCCTGGAATTTTCTTTTCCAAAGCTATGTATTTGAATTTTTATGTAAAACAACCTTATCACCTTCAGAGTACTCGCCATTACACTTAATAATACATTTGTCAAATCTGCGATTCCATTCTTGGAAACATTTTCCAAACTCATCTATTTAGATGGCTGACAGCATCTCCCTTCTATGTCGTTAAGTCACTGTGCTTTCATGTCTCTCTTCATTCGTGGAACCCAAAATACGTTGTGTGGAGCGAGGTCAGGTGAGTAAGGTACCAGATGAGTAAGGTGCATGGGGCAAGAGAGGCTTGCTGGGTTTTGTAAAAAACTGGCACACTGAGATGGTTGTGTGAGCAGGTGCATTGTTGTGGTGGCAAAACCAATCTCCCATCTGCCACAAATCAGACTTTTTTTGCCACACACTGTTATACAATCTTTTCAGAACCTCAAAATAGGAACCTTAATTAACAGTCTGACCTGTTGGAACGAACTCCAAATGCAGTATCTCTCTCACATCAAGAAAACAAATGAACATTATCTTGATCTTTGATTTCACTTGATGAGCTTTTTTAGGGTGAGGTGATGATGGTGTCTTCCATTGGTTTGATAGATGTTTGCTTTTGGGGTTGTAAGAATAGCCCTATGTCTTGTCACCAGTAATGACCTTGGGGAAAAAGTCTAGGTCTCTTTGGAGCTGTTATTTCAAAGCACAGCATGATTGCATTCCCCATCTTTCCTGTTCAGTCAGAACCCCAGGTACAAATTTCCCAGCCGTCCTTCTCTTTCCCAAATCTCTGTTAAAATTTGTTGATGGGGATCTCTTCAGTGTTCCATGGTCGGTTTTCGAGCACCAGTGCACGAATTTTGTCAACATTTTCATCTGTTCAGGAAATTGATGGACATCCAGAATGAGGTTTGTCATCAATCGACATTTCACCATTTACAAAACGAAAAAAACCACTTGTACATACGCTTGAGTTTTTCCCATAGTGCTGCTCTTATAAGCTGTGTTCAACATCACAACAGTTTCTGTGGCCTTGTTCCCCAACAGGAAAGAAAATTTCACAGCCACACCCTGGTCTCTTAAATTGGCTATCACAAAAAAACAAGATTCGAGTGAAATTGCGTTTACGAAAACGTTCACTGTGACCAGAGAATCTTCCCAGGTGACGCAACTGGTTACACTATCTCAGAGGGAGTTGCTCGCTGCTCACCCAGTGTGGGATAAGTGCGTACTATGAAAGATCTGCCCACAGAAGCTTTCCCCCATTTTTTTGGCGTTTCCTCTGGTATATTTTTAAAATTGCTTTTTATATTATGTCATTTAATCTTCACAAAAAGCCTATGGAAATGTTGATTATCAATTTACAGATTTAGAAACCAGGCTCTTGGAGTTAAACTCTTGTTTAAGGCCTGGTTTAAAATCTAGGTCCAGGTACAAAGTTGGTTGGTTGTACTATACAATCTTGGAATGAGCTAAGCTGTTAAAAAAACTGAGAGAAAAACCCTACAAATTTATTCTCAGCATTATATTTCATTCTTATATCAAATAGTATTTTAACATTATGAAAATATAGGTGACTATCTGCTAATTTAATCATACTTTATATTTTACTTGAGTATTGTTTATCTCTCTCACCACATTGTAAACTGTTAGTTGCCATGATGGTAACACTGACTCTGTAAGTTGATCTCCATAAGGTCCCAGTGGCTGGTGTGGGGAAAGGTGTTCACTCGGCCTTGCTTTTCAGATGCCTTTTGTAGAC